TAAATGAATTCAAAAGTAAAGAATGTTTCAAAAATTATGAAATATTTTCTCTGAGTGTAATATGTCTGTCTCTGTCTATGTAGTCTATGCCGTTTGCTTACGCAATTAACTTATAGCAAAAAGTATTGCGTTGCATACTTCACGGCGTTACCCATCCGTTGACATAAAATATGCGCGCTATTTGGCAGTTGTTTGGGCACACAACGCGACTGACGCAACTGGCGCAAACAGTTTCAGTGCCACAAACAGAGCGAGAGAGAGGGACAGAGGGAGGAAGGAGAAAGGATGTGTTCGCATGGTTGCATTTTGACAGACAGCACTGCCTGGGTGGGTTTTGGGGGTTGAGTCAATTTTTGGGTTTCGACTTTCGTCTTTTGAACTCATAAAAACATGAGTGGAAAACCTTTTCAAGTGTGTCGCATAAAAATGATGCTTTTCACTTTTTGGTACGTAATGTCACTTTACCAAAAAAAAAAAAAAACCAAAAAAAGAAGTGTCATAAAAAAATTTGAACAAAATGCGGTGAATGCTCCATTTTCCATTCACCATGTTCCTCTCTGTTTAAATGAGTCGCACATGCGGCTGCAATCAATGTGAGTAGTAAGCGTTTGGACGGCGGTGTGGGGGAGAGGGGAGTATGTCTCTGTCATTGGCAGCGTTACCTCCAAAATCCGGAGGGGATCCCTCCACATTTGCGTGACACTTTGCAAACGTTTGATTTTAATTTTATCAAATTTGCCTAAGCGCAAAGATATTAGAGTTGATTGTGAGTACATTTTGTGTCTCAATGAAATTTGAGTATGAGACAAATAAACCTTGATATGTTTATTGCATTATGAGCAGTACATTTGAATAACCCAATAGCTTAGATTACAGCTTAATTCAGTCTTAGCTGTGCGACTATAAAAGGCTGTCATGGGCTGTCAGCACAATTTTGGATATAATTCAAACTCATTACACAAATTTAATTACTCCTGATCAAATATGGCTCCTTATAAATTGTTAATTGTGTTTTCAATATACTAGCTCTCTCTTTGTCACATACTGCACTCAGAAACAAAATCGGTCTTTCAGAAAAGCACGCTTGAACACTATAAAGTTTTTTCTATTTTTAAGAAACTTATTTCTTGTTCCTGTTGAACATGAAAATCGACCTTGAAAAACGCCCTGTTAAATTTTTAAAATAATTAATAATAAGTATGCAACAAAATAATTAAAATTGGTTAGTGTTTCTTATATTTTCCAGAAATAATTTGTATTTATATTTATTTCTATATTTCAAATAAGAAAAAAGAGTAAAAATACCAAATCGCCATTTTTTGAAAATGTTATTTTTAAAACTCAGAAATAAGTGATGAATAATTAATTAATTATTTATAAGCTGTCTGTGTTGTGTACATAAAATTAGTTTAGTTTACTAATATTTCATTTTAAAAAATCTACACTTGAATTGAGAAAAGAAAATTTCTACAATTTAGAAATACAATTTCTTAATAATAAAGTGAGCAGCATCCTTTGTACATTTTCTAAGTTTGAAGCAGGCTGTTATTCTGAGTGTGGTAATTAGACCATTGTGTATCAGTGTATATAATTTTCCTGTGGCATTCTGCAGCTCTTATAAAACTAAAAGGTCAAACCTCTGTTATGTTCGGAAACAATCACTGGTTGATATTTATTGCTTTCGTTCTGGCCCACTTAGCAGTTGATTACCCAAGCTAGACAGTCTGATTGTCATTTTATCTTTGGCGCTTTCGATGCGCATCCTTTTAACGCCCCAACACTTAACAGAACTTGACTGGGCGTTGGAGTGGGCGTGGTGTGCAACGTGCCGCGATAATCAGTGCATTTATATGCAACATTGAGCACATCGCAGTGGCAGCCATCGAAGCTAACGGGCGGCAACATTAAAAAAGGAACATAAATTAAATCATAAATTGCAACAATTTCCGGTAAAAAACTTTTGCGAGCTAGCAGAAAAATGCAAGGAAATCGAAAGGGAAATTGTTTTTCAATAATTGGCAAATAATTATTGTTATGTGACAGACACTTGGGCCACCATCCCAAATATCCAATTAAAATTCAGCAATTGGCCAAACAACATAAATCTGCCCACACACTGAGTGTCTTAACTGGTTGTGTGCACACCTAAAGTTGTTTGCCATATTTGCAACAACAGCCAGAAGCAAGGGCAAGGATTATGTGCTACTCAAGAAACCATTAAATTTCAGAGACACTAGCTGATATTTGTAAACTGGAATCTATAGGGTTAAACAACAATTTTAAACTGGAACTTAAATATCTTGCGATAAATTCCTTTCCTGTGTACAAAAATGTTGACCACTAGCAGAGCTGCAGGTCTAATCGATTGTGTACTTATTTTAATTATTAATTGTAATATTATTTGTTTGTAAATGTAAACATTAATAAATTAAATATATATAAATATATATAACAGCCGAACACAATTCTTATATATATTACAGTCTTGTACGTGAAGCAGAAAATTTTGAAAGTTAATGCTTAGTAAATCTAAGTTTGTTGCTATATAATTTGGATGTTTGGGGTAAGGAATAATTTATTGTTCTATAAGATTTTAAGAAAATAACTTTTTAAAATTAAGCTTCAAATGAATTTGGGATCAAAATTACAAGTAAATTAAATGAAAATTGTAAAAAGAAATTCTATAACATAGTCAGACAAAAATGAATTAATTTGAGATTTTTAATTGCTTTCCATTCTTCTGCTAAACTAATCAATTTGATATCGCTTTAGCCAGGTGTCATTGTAGCAACATGTAGAGATTGAGTCGGGGCGGGTGATGATGTGGTGTCCTTTGGCTTATGGATACACAACAAGCTGGGCAGGACTTTGAGTGACTGAAGCTCTGACCCTATTGTATTTTATATACAATATACAACGACTACACAGCAACACATATTTGTACAATACACACATAGGTGTACTATGGCTAGGTGTCACTATCGCCATACAACTTGGCAACGTCATCGTTAAAATGGGCAAAAATAAGTTCCCCTTATCCAACTTGCCCCACGCCCCACACCATCGTTGTCCTGAGGGCTGTTCTTTTTAGTGAGTGTGTGTGTTTTTGTTTTTGTTTTTAAATGACACATGAGACAACAGGGGCAATAAAGAGCGAACAGATAACCTTCATAGCCACATGAGCAATGATAGTTATAACTAAGGTGCTTATAATGCCGGGCGTTACATGGTTTTCCCCATAGTTGTTGATGTTTTTGTTGCTGCTGTTGGTATTGTTTGGTTGTTTGGTTACCTATATGCCCTGGTAAGGCAAGTGACTTTTTGATTGCGGAAATTAGTTGGGTTCAAGATTTACTGAGGTTTGCGGCCCGCCTTAAGTTCTGGCCTCAGCCATGTTCTGGTTCATGTTTTCTTTTCATTTGATGGATATACATGGAAATTGCTTGCTCAGCTGCCGTCGAGCACCTGGCTCTGGTGTTGTTCTTGTTTGCGGTTAGGTGACGCTATTTATGGTGTTTGTGGTTATTAAGAGTGTCACCACACCGTGCAAATAAAAGCAAAATCAACACTTTCTTTATGTTGTCCCCATCCTGCGATGGTTGGCTACCTGTAGTGCGGGCTGCTTTGTTAAATGGCATTGAGTCGAAAGTTTTATTTAAACTGTTTCAATGTTTTTTTTTTTTAAGCCGGAAAGTGGTAGAATCTTGCCTGAGCTTTATAACATTCATGTGAAGTTTAAGCTTTAGTAACGCACTGCTGTAGTTAACTGTTTTCAGCAAATGTAGATATTGTTTGGATTAAGTTTCTATATCAAACAGCTGCTATTTAATTATTTTCGGCATAGTATGAAAAACACCTGTGCGTATTTTACTCCAACCTAATCACAATTTTAATGACTGTCCATTTCATTTCAATACTCTCCACTTTTTGGCTCTTGAGCTCACGGAATTTGATTTCCAATTGCTTTGCCAAATTTCTGACTAGCAAAAGCAATTACAATCTGAAATCTGCCTGTGTCGCCAGAGTATGCTCCCACATTGCCATTACAAATACGTTTTCAAACGACATATGTGGTCTCTTGGTATTCCAGATATCGCAACCACGTGCGTTTTAGCATCAAAAATAAGCCGAAGCCGGAGAATAGTAAGGAAGAGAAAGGTAGATAGACAGAAAGACAGGCTAAAAGTGTAACTAAAGGGAATGCGGGTCAGAAGCAAATTTTCTGGCTACGTGTTCTCCACGTTCAATCTGCAATCCACGTCTACTCACAAATGTGGGTACGGCCCGACAAATTAAAGCGAACGCGTTGCTTCAAAGTGGGTACTTAGCATAGAGAAGCGGAACGAGGCAGAAGAATATGGCAGACTTCAAATTAAAACGAGAAAGAACGGCTGTCATTGGCACACTGACGATTAAATACTCTTGTAGACCATAGTTCAAATATTTTAAAGTTTTTGAGCGTTTTAAAAAATATTTATGTATTGCTTCTGGCTGCAAAGTAATTATTCCACATTTGAAATAAACATGAAAAAAAAATTAAAATGAAAGAAGTAATTAGAAAGACCTCTGTTCAATTTTTCAGATATATATTTTTAAATAGTATGAATTAAATATATATAAGAATGCATATATATATTTTAGGAAGCAAATAAAAAATAACACAGATGCTGATCAACTATATATGTGCTTCTTGAAGTCGAAGTGTTCTTCAAAGCGTTACAAACTTCTCCATAACATTAAAATACCATCTAAAAGGGCGTAGCCAGTAAGCATGTTTCAGTCGAGAGAGCTCAAGCCCATTAGATATCATAATTAACACTTTAAATATTCACTAATTGTATATTTTATGTACGCATGTGTTTGTAACAGTTCTTGACTATATCATTATATTAATTATACCTAAATACATTTTATTTCGAATAAGAAAACTATATCTTTAAAGCTGGCTCCTTTATTACTAGCAGTAATCGATTTGTATCGATATTCGCATAACAGGAGAAGTTATCGATCTAATGAAAGAGAATCAATGGTCGCGTGGTATATAAGAGCTTATATTTTCTAAATAAATCGGAAGTCTTTAGCTTTTTTATTCTCTGATATATTTAATGCTGATAAAAAAAAACATTTGAATAGCTTATGGTGTCTGGATGTTTCGTTCTGGATGCTATCTACATTTCCACATCATAATTATACCCTTTTATGTAATTTTAAGTGGATTCAGTGTATTAAAAAGTGCACATGTTGATTTTGAAAGTTCGCCTCTTCCAAAGTAAAATATGCAAATTGTATTCCATAAATTCGTTTGTGTGTGAAAGCCATCTGAAAAGTATACAATTAAAATCAGAATGTGAACATATTCTTTTTCCCATCAAAAATCGCTAACCTATATAAAATAAAGCGATTATGTGCATCAAATATATTTCCATATGTGCGTCCATAAATTAACCTACCTCATGGCAGATGCTGATGAGTTGCCTTTGACTGTCCTGCGACGCTATGGTCATATTTTATATACCAAACTGCAACAGCAGCTGCCGACAGCAACAGCAACCACAAAGCCGAGCGGCGATTGATGGGGCAACATTTCTTATGTGTGCCGCACTATGCGGCAGCCACAATGAGAAGCAAGCATACAATTAATTTGAAGTCCGACCCGGAAAGGCGTTCACCACCTGGGCTAAAGTTGTGTGGAAAATGTAAGTTATTTGGTCATCTTTGAAACCTCAGACTTTATATTTCTTCAGTTCTTTAATTTTGACATAAGCTGTATATCGCATTGAAACTGATGATTCTTACCACATAATATATATTCTCGAATTGCATAAATAACCGAGTTAAAATAGCCTTGACTGTCTGTAGGACACGCCGCAACTTTATTGCATTTCAAAGATATCCAAGATTATGCTCGCGAAATTATGGCACGAAATGTTGAAAATTGGATCATAGTATTAAATAGTTTCAATAGACATTATGTTTTCATTTAAATAACAATTAAATTCTTGTGTGAGCAGCCGGAATCCAGTCCGTAAGTGTATGCACACTTCGGCGTTTCTAACAGAGCATTTTATCATGTTTAAAATGTTTCCATCTTCTTAAAGTTCTGATATTAAATGTTACATGAAAACACTAACTTCACAGTATTAATTAAATGTGTTTCATATCTTCTGACTTTTGCTGTCAAATCATTTAAAACTAGAGAGAAGCAAATAAATTTAAATGCACAGAAGTCTTCAAGTTTATTTAATCTTCAGTATTCCTAGCTTTTCATTCTTATTGTTTAATCTTCTATAGGTTTACAATTCAATGCATTAATTATATGTCTCGCACATCTTGTGAATTGTAAACAATGGAGTAATCTGACCTTTGTTGTTAAATCATTTAAAACTGGAGAAAATTCGCTTATAATTAATTTAAAAGTACAAAAGTCTTCTAATGGTTGCTCATTCCTTTAATACCCAAGCCTTTACTTTTCATTTAATTAATCCACGGATTCGCTTACAATCATCATAATAAATTGATATTTTCTTTGTTTTGTAATTTGTTTGCTCACACAATCATCACAATACTTTGAGTTGCCCTTAGTCCATCCTTACTGTAGTTTTTTATTATTAATTGGTAGAAATTGTCTTGGGATCAAGTCAACGAGACCGAATAAAAGAGTTGAAAAGTTCATGACACAAAATGGAAAGGGTCGGAAGCAGAATATATTTATATAAATGAATGAGTTGCGTGTCGAAAAATGAGTGACGCATTTTGCATAATATACTAATTATCATAATCACAAGAGAGTGACCCAACTGAACTCAAACTTCGAACTTTTCACTCCAGTGGGACTCGAAGCAGAATGCTAAACTGCTTAGGATTATGATGGTTTCTTCAAAATATTATGTCAATTGACATGCAAAACGCTCCATTTACTTAACAAATTTTGCTGCCTGGTAAGCAGAAAATGCTGGGTCCTTGTAAGTACGCAATACTTTTGCTGTTGACAATCTTAACCCTCAGTCTGCGTTGTAATTAAAATTGTCGTCAATGTTGACAATTTGGATACTTTGGCTCTCTTGTAAATTTCAGATGCGGCAGCCAAGGCAAATAGCCAAAAGCTCGGGAGGCATTTGCCCCAGAAGGTCTGTGTCATTTTCCCCCAAAACCATTGAAAAGCGTTTGGGTTTAGCTGAGGACTTTTTTGCCATATCAATAGCAGACTCAGCGCCACAGCATGGAATGAAAGTGCCGCATTTCAATGCAAACAGAATAAACGGGAAATATGTGTCTGACTGCGGCAATAGATTGCCATGCCCCCGGGTTGAGCATGCAATCGACTGGCAACGCTGCGGCTTCCGTCTAGTTCGCTACACTCGCTAATTTGTATCTGGTATGCGGTTTACTGCTAAATGGATACCTACAGATATAGTTGAGCTCAGCTTCTGTGGCACGTAGCTGCTATACGTATCTGAAATTCACTGGCATTATTATGCAAAACACACAATTCGGTTGCTGTCACAGCTTATGCTCGTACTTAACTTTCATTTCTGCAAATAATTCGCTGGCATTTCGTTTTATCTGGCACTCATCGGGCACGCTGATTGATTGATTGATTGGTGGATTGATTGTCAGGCCTCCAATTAATTTAAAATATGTGCCTTTAAAATTAATTCGCATATACTTGCCATTTTATTTAAACATTTATATTAAATGCTGATTACCTCGATGGCTCTTCGACTTAATCAGTTGTGCGCATTTTTATGCTTGCGCAGTTAATTATAATTATGATTGATTTTCTGTGCTGGGTAATTCTATAATTGCTATTGATATCCGATTGCCAATTGTGAGTTGATATTTGTATGCGATTCTTTTGTTGAATTTGCACTCTGAGTGCAGCGAGCGCAACTTGGATTCAACCTGGCGTATGCGCATTGTGAATTCTAAATAATCGGGGACTAATTAGGTTTATTTAATAATTACAAAAAATGCAACGCATCAAATTGAAAGCAAATGGAAATAAGCTTATGGCGGCATATTGATATAAATAATAAAGGTGTGAATTAAATTATAACATAATTCGAATTCAAAATCGGAGTCCGAAACAAAATTCAAAATTTTTTGAAACCCAAATAGCGGAACATCATTATAATCTTCCTTAGTTTTATTTATGTGGATTTGTCTGTTTTTAAATTGGTATATGACTTTTTTCAAATTTGAAGTCTCTAACTTATATAGTTTCTGAGATCCGCTTGCACATACAGACGGGCAGACTGACATGGCTACATCTACTCATCTGTTGATTATGATTATTAGAGATACTTACTACTGCCTATTATGCATTTTTTATTATATATCAGCGCGTCGTTATAACCGAGCTATTTGATATATTTTCCCAATGTTGATCATGTTGTTTTAATTAGATGCAAGGAAGTTCCTTAACCAGTTAGTATTAAACTGATATCAGGTAATTTTGCAGTCAGTTATGGCCGACCTAAAGGTTTTGAATTTTGAGTTGTACGTTTCGATTAGTACCGATAATATACCATAAATGTCAATTAACCAATATATGACAGAATCCCGCAAAACATTTTGTAAAATATATTAAACTTTCGTTTCGCTTTAACCATGATTTTTAATCTCAAATTAACTGAAAATGCTTATAACAATCGATTCGATTAATAGTACATTAAAGCACAGCTGAAGTAGAACACTATACAATAAAGTGCAGCAACACTTGCAACTCCATTTGCACATTTGATTATTTTTAAATGAGCAGTATAATTGATTTAAACAATAAATACGATTTACGGTTTACCAATGCTGGTTTCGTGTGTTTTCGCTCCGAGAGCCCAACTAGTTGGACATAAAATGCACAGAGCGGCTGTCATGTGAATCAGGGGTAATTTAATTGAAAAGATTAAATATTAAAAATGAAATATTTTGTTGAATACGCAACGACTGCAGCAGAGACGTCGGCTTAACTGCATTAAGTTGATGTCCATTTAATATTTCCCATTCTTTTTTTGTAATTTGTGCCGGGTTAACAATAAGGACGCTTGCTGCATTTTTGTGCAGCTCAAATGACATGCAATCGTCCACACGACTGAGAAATTGTAATTATTAAAATCCCATTTATTAAGTGGAACATGTCAACTATTAAAGTTCACTTAAAAATAAAATTACAGGTTGCTATTTGATTACCCGAGTCTTTCATTGGACTTTTTTGCATGACGAAAAATAGCATAAGCATTACAAATTGCTTATGTTAAAAAATCACACATCACAAACACTTATTCTGTCTCCAAATTTGTTTAAATTATTATAACTAACTTATCAACTAAATTCAACTTTGAATGCGTTAAAAATTTCTCTTTAAATTCGTTTAAAATCTATGCACAATTGCTAATTAGAAAACGTTTTCCTTAAAATACTCACACATAACTTTTATAGGGTATATACGCTTCGTGTGTTGACCTTGTCTGTCGTTAAATATTTAGATATTTTCTCTGTTTGTTTGTTTATCGCTAAAGACAACAAAAATAGTTCAGAAATAAACAATAAAATCAAATAAAAAAGTGTAAGCGGTTGCCAACTGATACGACAGATATTTTGCTAAATTATTAAATATGCTTTTAGGGTAGCCAAATTTGTCTTGAATCTAAGTAACTGAAAGATAAGTGCAGACTCGCATCCACATATGACATGCTGAAAATTTGATGAGACCGCTGGCGGTTAATGTGCATGTCTTTTGATTAGATTTTATGTAAATGCTGTGGGCAAGACAAACACTGTACATAAACCAACCACAGGCAGACGAAAGGGCAGACAGACAGAACGGGAGGAGTCCTTGGGCGGAGACTGTCGTATAACAGCGAGCCAAAAATCAAATAAATATATAATCAAGCGGCTGCCGCAGAAGTATGCCGCGCTTTTTAAATTGGTATAAATGTGGCACGCGCTGGGAGCAAAGGTAGCAGAGCCTGTCATGAGAGGGTGGTTGTGTTGGAGGGGGGTGTGCCTTGGCACTGACTGATTGTGCGAAACGTTCTCCTCCTGCGCCAAGGCGAGCCACATAATGTTGTTAAAAGACGACACAACTGTTGCAAGAGTTTGGCTCTGCCCCTCTCCCACCAAGCTTTGGGGGCATGGCAGCATTTGAAGGTGAAGCTGCTGCCCGCACTTCCGGGAGCTGTGCTGTTTAATTAATTAAAGCTATTAAGCTCAAAGATAAAGGTACGCACTTTTTTCGTTGGGTGTGCTTGGTCTTTCACTTTGCAGCTTAAATCGTATATATTGTGATTATAGTCTATTTAAATATATATTCACAAGTATTATGGCACCATTTGTAATTTAGTCTAGCGTGCTGAATTCTACACACACAAATATTTACATTGGCATTTTTAAAAGGCTGCAAAGTAAACAAAATTCATTTTCACATTTAAAATTCTGTTAGATAAATATTCGTATTTACTACTCGTATTCAAAATCAATATGAATTAACAAATATTTATATTTATTTCTCTAGAAAATACACATTTCACAACTAAATCCTGAACAACTTGGAACTATATACATTTACGGTAAATTGGCATTTACATATTTAGTTGACTTTTGGAAAAGCAAAACGGGAATTGAAATTTATTCGTTGCCGGATAGATTTTATGTCAATTCAATTTCATTTAAATTTAAACAAAAAGCAGTATTATAAAAAAAATAAAACTTGTTGGATAATAAATTAGGCGATTGATAATTGATTGATTCAAATTAAGGTGACATTTGTAAATGCTAACTTCCTTCCACTTCCAGAGTAATCTATTTCTATCATTAGGAACTCAATTTTAAACGCCTTGTCTCAATAATACCAATTTTTTGTTGGGCTTCCTAGCAAATGCATAGTAATTCTTTTTTATTTTTGAACTGATTGGCTTCTTTCTGTGTTTTCCTTAATCCATGGAAGACATGTTAGACAAACTTTGCATTTAAACACCCCTGGAAATCTACAAATTTGTTTTACTTTTTTATTTTAAAATTTAAATCTTAACCATTTTAGTTTATTTTATTATTTACTTTTTTGTATTTTGTTGATTCGGCTTATATTGATCGACTTTCAATAAAATAAAGTAAGCTTATAAATAAATAATCCGAAACTAAAAATATTTATTTATGTATTCATTCAACCTTAATTATAATACATTATAAATACAACTAATATTTCAATTCTAATACCAGTTAGATCACTATCTACAAGACCTTCTGCATAAAAGATAAAAGTTGCAATAAAAAAATAAAAGAAATAGATTTAATTTTATATTTAGCCAAAGACTACTCGTCATTAATTTCAAGAATACTGTTTATGATTTCGTAGCAAGGAGGGTCCAAGCCGAAAACTTTAATAATTTTTCAAAAATTTAAAAAATGTTTTATAATATTGATAGAAGGACTAAAGTAGCTCTGAGTTTGCAAGCACGACAATTAATATACACTGTGCGAAATTCGATTAAAGGCATTTGATTTCTCCTTATAAAATCGAAAATACAATTTTTTAAGTTTTTTCTCAATCTGTCAATTACTAACTTAAACTCCACAGAACATGTGTCCCCGCATACATTTTTCAAATCAGGCTCCTGTTGTGAATACTGCATGCAACCCAGATCATGAGTGAAGCATCACCACAGCTTCAAGTAGTGAAAATCTCTCAGACTTCTCTAAATCGTACCAGTAATATTTTAAACCATTTCGACCATCGAAACTAAATTTGTTTTCATCACAAAATAGAACATTTTGCCATTCCTGAGTCCAGGACATCTGTTCTTTTACACAATTTAATGTGACATTTGGTGCACTTTCGTTAAAGCCGTCTTTGAATTCATATTCATAATAAAGCTTGTTGAACACGATATTTCGATATTTGTAACCTTAAATCAACTAGAATTTTAGATGAGATTCTTGCCTATGTGCAAATTTATTCTATTGATGTTTTTGGCATTGTTTGTTCTAGTTTTCTTTTAATTTTGACATGTCAATTGCTGTTGGCGATCGACTTAATTTAATTGATATTTGTCTGTTGTTCATTCAAGATTCTTTGAAAGCAAGGATCTCAGCTACCTCCTCAGTCTAGAGTCTTTTTTCAAATTTGTGTGTGCAACTTATTTATTTCTACCTATAAAATATTAAATAAATATGTGTTCCTTCTATTAGTTCATTCAAAGAAATTCCATATAACGCCCTACTTACTTTACCAAAGACATCAAAGTGACTGCCTTATTCGAATTTCGCACCCAAACTAGCCATAAACGGAAGAAACCCAAAAATCTTGGAAAAAAAACTAACGGAATTTGCGTTCCAATGCATAATAACAGTGTAAGAAGAAGAAGCACCGCTATAAAAAGAGTAAACAAGGTCTTCTTAGGCTTGGTACAGCATCCCCGAATTTCGGGGAGTGTATATCTAAGTCGTGTCCAGATACACAGACAGTTCAAGCCTCTACTATGAACCTTATTAATTAATTGGGTGGAAGAATATTTTCTTAATTGGCTGCACACAATTACAAATTCAAGGAGACAAACACTTTTCCACAAATTAGCCACAATTAAATCAAAGTAAAATCATTTGCTCATTTTAGGCCCTCAGCCAAATAAACAGTCTATTAAATATAGTAAAATGTGCCACATTTCAATTAGTAACGTAATCAATTTTGGTGATTTGCTGCTTACCTGATTTCCAAATTTAACGGCAATAATTGGTAATTTGTGTTGAATTTGAATTTTGCACAAGCATTATGATAATATTTATTAAATATTTGCTGTTGCTTTTTGAATATTTTTTGATAATTTATAAATATATTTTTTATGGAAACTATCGCTTGCAGTTTGCAGTTATTTTTGGAGTGCACAGTTCAAACACTAATTTAATCAAATAATTCAAAGTGATTTTTTTTAGTTTTTCAGAGCGGCTAAAATTACAATTTGTTGACGATGTTGATGTTTGATTTGACTGCGGCAGTTGTGGCATTTGATCTTTGGATAATGCTCAACTTGAAGCTTGTTGCGACATCGGCGGCAAATACACGCAACAGTAACGCAACGCACACGCACACACACACACACGTACGAATGGTGCGCTGGCAGTCGCAAGTAGAGCACGCGTCCAAACGTGTCAACGTTGCAAGTGAAACTAAACTGAAAAGAAAATTGAACAGAAGCAGCTGCTGTTGCTGTTGCTGTTGCTGTTGCCATTGCCGTTGCCGTCCTTAAACCGAGTCGGATCAACACGAACACGAACGACTCTTTCGGCGTCGGTTAAGCAGTGTAGTCTCTCTCTCTCTCTCTCTCTCTATCTATCTCTCTTCGGCTCTTGGCTCTCTGCCAGTGCCAAACTGTTGATTCTTTGCCCGCATCGCACCTCTCTCTCTTTGTAATGTGACAAATTCTTATTAGAAATAGTGCCAGCGTCGGATTGAAGTCCGAGTCGGACTAACAAATTGCTTTGCATGTCCATCAGAACAACAGAAAGCAACAACAGCAGCAGCAAACAATGCGCACGGCCTTGAAAATGACAATCCATAAACACATTAGTCATTCATTGGAGTCGAAAAAGTAAGTTGTGGCTTTGTTCCTGGCTGGTGCAACACAATTATTTTTTTGCCCTGTTAAAATTGAAGGCACACGGATCGATAAATGTGTGTACACTATTTAAGTAAACTGCTGGAAAGACGGGAGTGGGGGAGGAGGTGGAGTAGGAGAAGGGTTTACAAGCATATGATCAAATTAAGCTTTCTGCTGTGTGTCACATTTTCCGGAAGGTAATGAGTTAAGCACATTTGATGGATAAGAAAAAGGCAGTTGTACGCAAAGTGCTCGTTACTCAATAACAGCCTTGCCGGCATATTAATCAAATTACTTTTCCGGTAGACTGTGTTACTGTGTTTATCAGATATTATTACATAATTATGCCAATTTCAATGGAGCGCTGATTAAGTAAATAAGTTCCACAACAAAATAATAGGTTCTTGAGAATGCGCTAGTCATATAATATAGTAATTTGATCCTATATATATGTAAGGACTACAATCAATCTAGAAGCTCACCTGTGCCCAAATATTGCGCAGGATATTGTAATATTGTCGTCAATATACATTTCCGATCAGCATTATTAGCTGTGTCTGTCTGTCCATTTAATAGTAATAAAATAATAATTCCAGAGATAATAGATAATGAACTTACAATTAATAAAAATACGAAGATATGTAACTAACAATTTGTTGTTAACTTAATTTCATTTATATTGTGGTCTATAATTAATGCGACAACTTAAATTACGCTTAAGGATTCCAATTTCCATCACAAATTATTTTCAATATCGGAAGACAATATCAAACAGATACCATTAATAAATAAAGAAATAAATTCTCAAAAGTATTAAGTACTTTTAGATACCCTTATGCAATAATAAAGTCTGTAATAGAGTCTGATAGTGTCCCTGAAACCAAATACTGTTTAAAGTTATTTTGGACAAGTTAAACAAAGAGCATCCAACGACTAATATGAGCAAGTGTGAGTGTAATGATAGTTGGAGCTGACTTGCTTTTTTCAGTTTTAATTTAATTTATACAGATATGTCTTAAAATTATTAACTTAATGCATGGACTCCAGACAAATAACAATCAAACAAAGCTTTGCCTTCTTGTCGGTATTTTGTTTTTCATCGTCAACAATTTTTCCGTTGTTGTACTTTTGGTCTGAGCCAATTAAAGTTGTAATACTAAGTCGCATGCCACAACAAATTATTCTTCCTGCAACACGCATAAGCAGTCTTCATAATAACTGACTACATATTTGCTCTGTCTGTCTATCTGAGACAAAATACGACAAAATACACAAAATAAACTTGAGTTTACTTGCAACTTGCAACAAAGGCAAAACTTTTAAAAACAGTCAACAGGGAGCAGCTCTAGGAACTGCAACTGGGCTGGGGTATTTCAGTTTATAGAGCCTCGACTCGACTGGCAACAGTTTTTCTTCATAAACACACGTTTCCCCATAGTTTTCCCACACACTGACAGTTGGACTCATAACTTGCCGGCTCCCTAACTGAGATTCATATGTAGGACATTATTTGCAGACTAATCGCCTCGGGGCTTAGGCCTCAGGACACAGGCCTCAGCTGACCATCGTTGGCTCAATGTAGATTTCCAAAATTATTTCACACTCGGCCATTGCATATATATATATATATATATAGTATTTAGTATGTATTAGGGGTAATAAAATGCTTTTACATTTTATTTGCCTTTGTTCTGGCACCAATAGTCGTAAAAAGAAAATTAAAATGACTTCAAGCCACAGACAATGGCAAATTACTTTCGAATTGTCGCAGCTAGCAAATACTTAAAATACTCGAATACATGCAACTGCACAGAGGACCATAAAGAATATCTGACAACCCGAAATACATTTGGATTACAATTGCAATCTACCATTTGTTATTAACAGCTGAATGGCGTTGAAAAATACATATACATAAAAATTGTTCATTTTGTAAGTGTTTCTCCATGTATTTGGTCTGATTGTGTTTTTCTGGATTTTCTCAATCCTTGCAGTAAATGTTGCCCATATTTAACATTTGAACAAAGCGAGTTTATTTTTTTTTATATCATATTACATTTTATTTTAATTATTCAATTTAATTTTCTTTTATTTATTTTGTGGCTTTCATTTTGCAATTCTTTTTTTCTTAACAATTTTGAACTATATTTCATATCTTTTTTATCAGTCTACTATTGGGCTTAATCAGTCATTGAAATAAATGTTTATATTTTTGTACCCCTCGTTTATATTTTACTTTGGCCATTTTTGATTAATTTTTAATTTTATAAATTTTAATGTGTAACGTTCATTTAATTAATCAAAAATTTGTATTTTTGAAACCACAGTAAATAAATTAAAAGAAAATATAAATAAAAGGGTAGTCTACGAAAAGTAATGTGCTTCTCTTAAATGTAAGCTATTGTAATATTTAAATCCTTGAAACTTTATTAATGACTCGCTTTTGTCTTGCGCATTTTGTGTTTTTGTTCTGTAATTGATTTTTGAAGTTCGCGCAAGAAGTCAACAAGCAAATGTAAAGCGCCGCAAATTACAATGTTGCCACAGACAAATCGATATTTGAACACACACAAGCATGTATGTGTGTGTATATATTTATGTCTATATGTATATATATTGTTGCAGTTGTGGCTGGCCATGGCCATGCTTTATGGCACAAATGAATTTCCATCGTTGGCATACTTTGCTGGTGAATCCTTTGCCGCTCCTGTTTTCCACTGCATAATCTGTTATTTGACCCTTTGTGTGTGTTCGCGCGTGTGTGCAACAGGAAAACTCCCGATGCATTGAACCAGAATTAGGTAGATATGCCAATGAGCTTTGAATTTCCTTTCCCCTTTCAACGAATTTGTTTCTTTGTTGGCATTTGCAATTTGCGCTTTTCATTTTTGGTAACGTGCTTGAAAGCAAGCATGGGTAAATAATGTTTCTGCTTTCTAGCTTAATATATATAAATAAGTATGACTTTGATTAAACGCTTTCTTGCCAATAGTTGCAAAAAATAACTTTGTCAGACATTTCGTAATGCTTAAGTAAGCGATTTAACCAACCAATTTGAAAATATATTACATATATTTATATATTATTATATTTTATGTATTACGCAGTATATTGATAGCCTGATTCCATTATCAATATGTTTTACATTCCCGAGTGTCTAGAGAATGTAAACTAGTTGCCTGTACGTGTTGCCATAAGGGACACAATTCTGTTCATTCAATTCGTAAAATATGCTGCAAATGCTGGAAGTTCGTGTTTTCGTGTTTTTGCGATAATTTCGTATTGTTATAAAATGTACGGCAATATCAATATCACAAACAGTTTACATATCAAGAGGGATTAGTGTTTAGAATACAATTCAATGAAAATATGTTATTTTATAGTTAAATGTTGACAACAACATAGAAATTAAGTTTCATTTCCATTGTTTAATTTGTTTCTAAATTATTAGTATGTTTGCAGAAAAGTGGATATAGTCTGTCTTATATTTTGATTAATTGTTAAATCAAGTTTAACGAAAATGGAGACTCATAATGGAATAGCGACTGCTAAGTAAAACATTTGAATGTTTGATATGTTGGGAATGGTGGAATTTGAATTATCAATGCAATAGCATTTATAAAAAATATAAACTCTATATGCTAATTTATGCATATTTAAAAATAGGGTTTGAAGCATTATGCTTTCCTTAGCTCAAAATGCCTGTATCAAATCAGTCTGAGGCTTTACCCAACTCATCATCTGTCATAATCAATGACAGTTGTCAGTTGAGTAACAGCTGTCAATTAGATGGCAAGTACCCGTTTCAAGATGATTCCTTAAATGCTATGCTAAAATAAGCTGCACACTTGGGCGCCTTAATAGCATTAACTGTTGCCTGCCACGGAAGGTCAGCCCCGATTCCGACTACAAATAAGAAAGCCAAAAACCATGGGACTTGGGGCACCGGCTCTAGCTGCTGTCAATGGTTTGTGGCAAAGCTGTGGCTTCAACCACAATGTCCTACTGTTTCAGTTTGTTCATGAATTATTTAAGAAATTAATTAACTAACAAGACGCCAAAAACAGCGATAAAGAGGGCAGCAGGAAGAAGATAAAGAGGACGAGGGCAGCAGTTGGGAGCTTATTGAAATGAGCCGTTTACAGAACATTACGTGCACTTTGCTTTATGATAATGACAATTAATTTCATTGTTCACGTTTAAAGTTCTGTGTGTTTTTAAAGCCTCCAATGCGGTGCTTAGGTCCAACTTAATGTTCACTTACACACAGTTTGCTTTCGTCTTGGGATTTTTGGGCTCCGAGCTGCGGTTTTCCTTCGCAGATACTGGGAGAAGCTTGAAATTGCTTTTCAATGGTGACTGACTCTTAAATAACTACTCGATCAATTTGAAGCAATATATGTACAGGACAAAAGGAATCCTAAAAATCATTTTGTGCACAGCTATTTGATTAGCCATGTGAGAGTTCTTTGAACTGTAAACTTGACGACGATTATTTCCATCACTTGTCTGCAGGAGTAGTGAAACCTTTGACCATTCAATTTCAATGAA